GCCCAGCAGGTAAGACAGAGCCTCCTTAGGGACTGTGGTGGGGTCTAAGTTTTGTCCAGATCCCCGAGTGTGAAAATAAGCACAGGGACTGAATCATGGAGAATATAGAAGGAACTGATGACTAGAATAAAACCATGGCATGTGCTGGCATGAGCTTTTCTTCCTTCCTCTCTGTACACTAAGCACTATTTTTTCTCCCCTTAGCAACAAGAGGAACACCTGGCACAGCCACCACTGTCTCTGCTGGTGAAAACACATCTGGAAGGACAGGTACTGATGGAGCTTAAGCAGCAGCATGAAATCCAGGCAGTAGACATGTGAGCCCTGTGCTCAAATTTAGTCATAGACTGTGTTTTCTGAGAATCTTAACTTTGTGATTAATATGATTCTGAGTATAAAGAGGATCAGAAATAGATTACTCTATATTTATTGTGTACCTACCATTGGGTTATAAATTTGTGGAAAGTAGGAAAAGTATGGGAAGTATACATTTTCCAAGAATATGTAGCAGAGCAATGAACAAGGGATAGGTTGCAAACAGCACCAGAAGACAATTCTAATTACAAGAGACAAGTACTGGGAAGTTAAATCACAAATTGTTATAATTTATTCATAATGAGTATTTTAATAAAGTGAATACATTCTTAGGGTTATCTAATTTGCCTTATTTACCTGGAGTGAGAAATTAAGATCTCTGTATTTCACAATGAAGATCCATCTATTCTTTAAAAGAAATAGTTTTTTAAAAGTTTATTCTATTAAATATTTTGAAGGACACTTGTTTGATTTTCTTAAACTGACATTTTCCCCCAATAAATATCAGGTTCGCATGCAACATCATCTGGAGCTACCCCTGAAGCTAGAGGAGACAGCACCCCTGGGGAAGCAGGCACTGGAGCCACAGGTTCAGGTGAGGTCCACCAGTTTGGATGTGATGGTCATCGGTGTCCTCCTGCAGCAGGTCTGTAAAATCAGGTCTTCACTGGGATTATATTGCCAGACTAAGGAAAGATCAAAGAATCATATCCTTTTTTTCTTTATTCTGGAGACATCCATTTACTCATAGTGAGGTACAGGAGTAACATATACCTCCACAATGCACTGGTTCTTGTTTCCAGGGACCACATTGGTTATGTGCAGACTATACCACTGCCAGCTCTGGTTTTGATAATATTAAATGTAGATACTGAAATAGTTTTGACAGTAAGGGAATTATAGTAAAGGAATTACAAATGGCACAGCTTCCAGTCAGGTGAAACAACAATAACAACAAAATCCTATATTCAGTCAGTCTTGTGTTTCACCTTGGTAATAACCCTCCAGAAGAGAGCCTTAGGAAAAAAGGTCAATTTACGGGTTACATAGATCTGTTGAATGACTTTGGGATACACTTCACAATTAGTATTGTGGTATAGAAAATATTAGTGATGTATTTTATGACAATTAAATGTCTGATTTACTCTCAAATATTTTCATTTTAAGGCAATGAATCATACTACTATTGTGTTAATGTGGCATTGTTCCCATGAGATAAGACAGTTTCCAAGCTGGCAAGGCAGGGATAGAGCACAGAGTACTGAGCCTCATGGGCAATAGCTAATGCCCAAGGGTCTGTGCCCTGTGTCTAGAGCTCACAACCAACAAAAGCCAAGGAGAATATGCTTGACCTGTTCATCATTTACTCAGGTCAATGTTAGATTCAGGAATAAAAAATTATTGACACACTTAAGCACAGATAAATTAGACTGAAAAGAAGCAAGATAAAATTTTACAACTGTCCTTCAAACCATCAGTTACAATCATAAGGATCTCTGAAGGGTCTTCTTCTTGTGGTCCCTTTCCCCAGTCCCCGCAGTCCTTTGCTTAGCTTGCCTCCTTCCTCTAACACCATGGTGCTCAGGGTATGTTCCTGGCCAGTAGCATCTGAACAGTGTGGGAACTTGTTACAGTTGGTGTCTTGGGGGTCCAGCAGCCTAGAATCAGAAAGTATTGAAGGGGAAGCCAGCAGACTGTTAGCTTGTTAACATAACAAGTGTTTTAGCAAATCAATGCTCAAGTTAGAGAACAACTTCTTTACAACTTCCAGTCTTTTCCAGCTTCACTCCCTCTTTTCCAGCTTCACTCCCTCTTCACTCCTCTTCACACAGGAGTCAATGACATGTCTGCCATGTCAGTAGGTCATTTCCAAAGCTCAGCTATGATCCTGTCTATGCTCCTTTTAAAATACTTTTAACAGTATGGATTGCTTTGAAGATACGTGAAAACTTTGTTACCATTAAGAGTACTTTTGCTCATGAATGCACTGGATTCTGTTTATGGATGAATTAATGAATCCATGGCCTGTTTTTGTTTTTCCTACACTTGGTTTGGCTTAACAATTGTTACGATTAAGTTTATAACATAGTGTTATATACATGCTATTCTTTATATGAATATTACTGAGTTAGGAGATAAGATTTACATATTGCAGAAAAATAAAAAATATTAATTCCAATTACAGAATAACTTATTGAAACCTTAAAATAATAACTAGTTTATCATTAAAAAAATCTGAAGTAGAAATACTTGAGTAATAATGAGATCTCAAGGAGTAATCTCTTTTGAGACAGTAAGTGCAATGATTTGTGACAAGACTACTAAAAACTTGGTGCATGAATATAAATCCCCAGACTATTTGTTAAAGGCCAGTGATGTGATAACAAGTGAAACATTTGGAAATATAGAATTTTAACATCATAATCCATAAACTTTTAAATAAAGTCTTTTACATTATATGATCTTATTTATTTGAACCTTACATCTGTACTTATGTTATGGCATTTTTAAAAGAATGTCTCTAGCAGAGATTGGAAACATTACAAATTGATTCTTTTACCACAAATCACTTGAGAAGCAGCAGTTACAGTATAAAATCAGGGCTAGATGGCTAGATTTTGCTGTCTTCATTTTCTGTCTACAAATTGGGTGACTCAGAGCACATCATTTAAACATATTAGATAATTGTAAAGAATAGTGTTACCTGTTAAAAGAGGGTGTTTATGAGGTTAAAAGACTTGGTTGTTTTTAAAGGAATTTCTTAAATGATTATTTTTTCACCAGGAACACGAAGCCCTAGTGCAACAACACCTGGGAGGAAAGAGAGTAGCACATCTGGGGAACCCAGCACTGGAGCTACAAGCACAGGAAGTTCAGGTAAGTCAGGATGTGCACTGAGTGCTTGTTAAGTGGGCACAAAGATGAAACCATGTAGGCTGCTGGATAAATCATGAAAATGTGCCAAAGATTGAAATTTTGTCTTGATCTCAATATCTTCCTTCAAAGAAACTAGCATATGTTTCAAGCACTGCTACTCTGTTTATCAGGTACAACAGGAGAGTCCCTGGGTGTGACCTCAGGAGGAGTCAGCGGTACAACAAGTCAACCATCAGGCACTGGGGTCACAGGCACTGGAAGCCCAGCAGGTAGGACAGAGCCTCCATAGAGGATGGTGATAGGGTCCAATGCATTTTTTTTAAGAACCCCAAGTGTGAAAATGAGATCAAGGAAAGGAACAATGGAGAACAATAAAGGAACTGATGACTAGAATAAAACTGTGGAATGTCCTGGGAAGAGGGTTTTTTTTTTTTTTTTTTTTGTTTACAAGCTCTATGTGCACGAAGCACAATTTTTTCACCATTAGCAACAAGAGGAGCAACTGATGCAGCTACCACTGTCTCTTCTGGTGAAAATACATCTGGAAGAACAGGTATTGAAGGAGCATAAGCAGCATGAAATTCAGGCAGTAATGTGGGAGCTTTTTGCGCAAAACCTAGTCAAAGAAAGGTTTTCCTGGGAGAATCTGATCATATGATTTAGGTAATGCCAAATCTCCAGAAGAGCATGAATATATCAAAAAGTGTATGTGATGTTTTTAATATATTTTTGGAACACAAAATATAGTGAAGTATATTTTACTATAGTGAAAGAATGGGGGCTTATGACTGATATCACCCAATGTCAATTAAGAAAGTGTAAAATTAACAACCATGTAGAAAGGGAAGTAAAGAATGACAACAATTAAGAGCAGAAACTTTGTAAATTTGGATCATAAGACAATTCTAGTAAACAGAGACAAGGACATCAATGTTGAACCTTGTAATATCTACAGGGTTATTATATTTTATGAGTAATAAATATCCTAATTGAATCAGCACATTATAAGAGTTATCTAATTTACATAATTTTACCTTTAGCATGACCTTTTGATATGAGTGAAGTTTACAGGATAGATACATCCATTCTTTTAAAGGCTAAAGAAAATATATTTCATTTCATATTCACAAAGACACTCCTTTTGATTTTCATAAGCTGCCATTTTCTCCCTATAAGTAACAGGCACACTTGGGTCATCATCTGGAGCAACCCCTGAATCTCAAGGTGGCAGCACTCCTGGAGGAGCAAACCCTGGAGCCACAGTCTCAGGTGAGGTCCACCAGGTTGGATGCGATGCATCAGGAACTCCCATCCATGCCCTTCTGCAGCAGAGGCAGGTCTATAAAATCAGGCACTGACTGGGATTACATTATTGAAGTAAGAAAAGATGAAAGGATAATATCCTTCATTTTCTTTATTCTGAGAAACCCAAATACCCATATGAAGGGAAGGGATAATGTGTACCGTCCCCCACAATGCACTCATTTTTGTTTCCCGGGACAACAGGAGTGTCTGCAGCTACATCTACCACTGCCAGCCCTGGGGATTCAGCTAGACCTTTCTCAACCTCTGCTAGCAGCACATCAGGTAAGTGTAAGGAAGAAGTCCATGAGTAAGATATCAAATGGAGAGTGTAAGCACATCCCAATTTCTATTTTCTGGAGTGTTGTAAAGAACAGGAAAATCTAGTAAGTTACTTGAGGAAGTGAGCCCAATTCCTGACCAATAAATGGTTTATCAGGTAGCTGTGTACCCACTGGATTAGATAATCTTTCTATAATCTAATACAATTTTGAGAATGCCTGCATGTGTTTATGGGCCTTAATAGTTGGAAGACCACTGTTTTGGAGTATCTGAGGCTGTGGTCTGGAGTGAGACCATAGTTTGCAATTCTGGCTAGAAATTAAAATCAACTATAGAAACCTTTGGGATTTTTCCTTCCCAGTCCCATGGAGGGTGTAACTATGGAAAAAACAGGCCTGTGCACTCAGGTATTTTAAAGCCACAATTCATTTCAATATGCAGCTTCATTTATAATTATGAGGTTCAACATTATGACTATTAAAGAAATAGATAATAAGCAGTGTTAGTTTTAAGAATCAATATGGAATCTAAGTCATGCAAGATTTATGTTAAATTTTTCTAGTGATTGAAACAGAGATTGACAAGGATGTATGAAAGGTTGAGATAATTTTAAAGCAGAGTTCAGTATGATCTGTATCATTTAATCAAAGATTATATTATTTGTTGTTTGTTTGACAGGCATTACTGGATCATCAGTTGTCACAACAACCAAAGCCCAAAGTAATGCAGTGACATCACCTGAAGGCAACTCAGGTGAGTAGAGGATGAGTTCAGAGGTACTAGCTTTGGTCAATATGAAAAGTCATTTGTAGGAATCCTGCTTATTTTAAAGCAAAGTAGTTGAGATGAATGTACGGAGACCCAGTTCAACCAATAGAAAGATGTCTTAAAAAAAAAAAACCTTTAGGAAATTAACATTAAAACAAGTATCATGGGCAACTCTGTATACTACGTGGCTGAATTCTTTTAATCAATTTTTACCAATGGGTGATCTAACTTATCCAATCACTAATTAGAAGGAATTGGATAGTTAGATCACCCATTAGTAGCAAAGTTCAAGTAGACTTTAGGTGAGAGATTCCTTTGACCTTTTCTCAAGGTGCTACTGGAACGTCAGTTCTCCTCACCTCCACAGCTGGAAGTGCAGGCACCACAGCCCGACTGAACCCCAACTTCACCAGTCCTGGGGACACATCAGGTAGGCCCAATTCAGAGCTAATTTTATAGGCCAGACCAAGGAACTATTTTCAGCAATGTTGCCCAGGATTTTTCCAAATCAAATATCAGACTCAGGAGATAGTTCTTCATATGCAATTACCATTTAATATTTTTAGCCTTTTAGCAAGTTGCCTGTGTTTTATTCGGGTGTGAAATCCTTTCCCCAGTCTCTGCAGTCCTCTCCCTAGCTTACCTTTCTCCTCTAACACCATGGTCCTCCCAGTGTGATTTCAATGACCAGCATCATTTAAATCCTGTGTGATCCTGTTAGAAGGGCACATTTTGGGTCCATCTGCCTATATTCAGAAAGTGCTGGGGTGGAGCTCAGAAGATTGAGTTAACAGTGTTTTAGGGAATCAATACTCATGTTGGAGAAGCACTTCTCCACAATTCCCACTCTTTTCCAACCTTCCCATTTTACACTTCATCAATGTCATGTCAGAATGACTTTCCCAAAACTCAAGTTTTCAAATATTTTTTGTACTATGAACTACTAAAGTATTTCTGATTGTTTTTAAGATAAATCAAAACTTTATATGAACAGGACTTTTCTTCTTCATGCTATTATTAACAA